GCCTGTTGTAGTATTTTCTCAGTTCGTTTTGAATACCGGCTCCGATTTCGCCTCTCACTAGACGATATTTAGCGTGTCCGGGAGTTACACACTCCGAGATTTCGGGAACCCATCCATGACCCCTGTTTCCGCCTGTTTCGAACTATTTCAACTGAATAGACGGCTAACAGGGAAAAAGAATGATGAACCTATCATCTGCAGCGAAACAGCAAAAGGAATAGATTGTTGAAACTGCAACTGGCCAAAATATCGAAGAAGGCGATATGCTAGAGGGATCTAGATAACATGTTAGATTGAAAGTAGACATGTTTTGAGATTATTATTTCAGGAGAAAGCTGAAACTGTCAAAGAATTTCTTCGTATGATGGCTGTTTGTCACACAGTTGTACCGGAAAAGCAAGAAGATGGCAATCTACGATACCAGGCCTCCTCACCCGATGAGGGTGCACTTGTTCGTGGGGCTGCAGCACTTGGATTTGTCTTCCACACGAGAAAGCCGCAAAGCATCCTGGTTTCTGAGGTCAGTAATTGCGGATATTTATCGTGATTATTTATCTTGATCTGAGATATCTTTGTTAATGGGCAGCTTGCTACTACTTCTGCTATTGCTGCTACTGCTACTGCTGCTGTTGCTGCTGCCTTTCATCTGGTCAAAAAGGCTAATTAGAATATTTAATTTGTTCTTTGCTTTTTTTTTTAATGGTTCCTCCTGAATCTGACAATTTCAGCTGGGCATAAACAAAAGTTATGAAGTGCTAAATGTACTGGAATTCACTAGTGATCGAAAACGAATGGGTGTTGTTGTGCGATTTCCAACCGGCATCCTGAAACTCTATGTCAAAGGAGCGGTCAGTAAGTGGAAATTTTTCATTTTCTTCTCATAAACTTTCTTTTTTTTTCAAATACAGACAATTCGTACAATTTACAATTTTTATTATCTACTACTCGCTTTTAAAAATCTTTGGATTTTCGTGAATGTAGCTTTTTTTAGGACACAGTGATTCTGAGCCGTTTGCACCAGGGATCTACGAATGTGACTCAGTGTCTCAGCCATCTTTCGGATTATGCATCGAAGGTTAGAGCATGCCCCCCGTCGACTTTTCGCCATTTTTTTTTTATTTTTTTTTTTTTTTTTTCACATCAAACACCTCGCATGCATATGTGCTCATCTGAATGACAGAGAGTGGGGGAAGCATGAATTCTTTATGTTTTTCCTTTAAAACGTCAAAAGACTTGTTCCCCATTTTTATGCGTTTTGTGCTGTGTAACAGCAGTACAAAACGCATATTGTTACGGGGTTGT